TGGACAATACTTCGCGGTATTGTCTTGTTCGTCGAACGGTGGTGTGTCGTTGTAGACAAGGCAGACTACGCAATACGGCCCCTTGTTCGGAGTGGAGTCGTATCGGCCTCCGCCGGGGCAAGCCGACGAGGCATTTAGAGTTTTCCGGCGGCCGCGTCCCGAGCCCGCGCGCGGCCAGGCCGACGAGGCATTAAGGTGTGTAGGAATGTGTGTGTGTGGGACGTGAGGAGGAGGAGGTGAGGGAGGAGGGTCGAGATGAGGAGGGTGAGGAGATGAGGTGAGGAGGTGAGGAGGCGGGACAGCCCCCCCCCAAAAAAAACCATGAGGAATAATATATCATGTTGGGAATAATATGACAAAAATTAAATATAATCAAAAATTATGACTTTCCAATATTATTGATATTATTGATTTATATTATAGGAGAAATTTTTAGGGCTATTCAAAATATTATTTTTATTTTGTTTGTTGATATCTCGACTAGTTAGTTTTATATATTCAAGGTAAGTATATTTGTATTTTTAAATTTAATATTTTGCTTGAAATTTCGTATTTCATTGAAAGCATTAATTCATATTTATATTTTTATTTCATATGGCGAGAGACTTAAAGAAATTTTTAATAATATTTCTATTAAAAAAAAAATGTATTAAATTCATTAAAAGATTATCTATTATGAGCTCTTATAATATTTTTGTGTCATCATGACCATAATTATTCAATCTGGTTTTGATTTTATTCTTAGAATTCATTAATAATATATCAATGCAAAAAGAATTATAAAAAAATACATAATATATATTTCTAATTTTTTCGATTTCATTATATTTTTTTTTATTTTCAATCGATTTTATCATTTTTTTGTTGTGATTGTATATTTTTCAAGAATGGAAAAAAATAATATACTTTTTTGTATCAATTAATATAGAACCTTTTTGAAAAAAATAATTGAAAAAAATTGAATATATTTCAATCAATATGATTATTTCAAGTAATGATAAGAATTTTCGATTCTGCTTAGATTGAAATTCAAAATAGAATCATATTATATTGATTATTGATATGAATAGAACATATAGAGTTAAAACAAAAAAAATTCTAATTTATATAAATATTTTGAATTAGATAATGAGAAATTCATGATATTTTATGCAAGATGCTACCCCCATTACAACTTAGGCTGCAAGATGAAGCGACGCGTCCCGTCATGGCTCAGTGTCCAAAATCTATTTGAGATTTTTCGTAGGTGCTGGACCGTCTCCAAGCAAACATATCTTCGTAAGCAATGCATGTTGCATGGCGTTAACAGGCCGCCCTTACTGCAAGCTACGGAATGCCCAAGCACTGACGCTACACTGGGGGAAGAAGCTGGGTCAGAAACTTGGAAGAAAAATCGCTATGGTTGGACTGCGTGTTGACCCAAAAAATTTTGCAAACTTTTGGGGAGATATCTTCAACCCTAACATCTTTTCAGAATGCGGCTGATGTTCTTTGAATCCGGCCGAGCTCCTCACAAACTTGAGTTGTTTGATGGTCCGAACATCCGATATCATTCAGTCAAGCCTTTTATTCTGGTTAGTTTCATGCGTGCAACCGTTATGTATGCGACCATGTGGAGGCACACACTGCTTCATCCCGTAAATATCCCGGGCCAATCGAGTTACATCAATGGCTGCATGAGGCGGGGATTTGTTCCAAAGCTTCGAGCCACGACGGTTCACAGAGTTCCTGAACTGCAGCCACGTCTTGCCAGAACAAGCGTTGCAGATCAAGCAGGCGGCTCCGCTGCAGTTGACTTCCTTCAGATAGTTATGGGAAGCGGGAATCACTTTGTCAAAAAAACTCAGCCTGTTGAGTTGCTGCAGCTGCAGGTCGCTGTCTTCTTCGCGGTCGAAGACTTCGTTTAGTTCGGGCTTCGCAAACTTTCCGACATACTTTGATTCGTGCCTATGCCTTCTAGCCCGTTGCTACATCCAGGCTCGGTTCGAGGTTCATTTCGCAGATATCCTCGGCACATTGTCTCTTGCTGAGGAGGTGCCGCTGGAACCACGGAGTCGCTGCGGCGTCTTCCTTTCGGTATATGTCAGCCACCCGAACCAGCTTTCGGGATCATGCCGAGCATGGCCGTCAGTGTCCATGGCTTCTCATGCGAAATTTAGCAACCATGGAGCAACTTTTCAATCCTGCGCCAATGCCAGACTTCAAGTTGTCTTTCGTCGATATGACAGATAGGCTTCCGGCAAGATGATCTCGGTCTGAGTGCTCCTGTCCTTGCAAACCACTCATCAACCTCGGCCTTGAATACGTCGCCCAAGGCAGCACAGGTGACAGGCATGTGCTCCGCAACCTCCACTACTTCATTCATATCTGCGGTCACGGCCTCTTTGGATGCGTCTTCTGTGTTGACCAGATTTCCTGGCCAAGTCCAGTTGCACCGATGGCCTTGCGCTTGCTTCGCTTTGTAGAGCGATCGTGCCAGGATCGTCACCTCAACAGCCGCTGGTGGTGGAGACGTGTTGGTCCTCGGCAAACTGTCCTAAGATCCCTCGGAAACCTTGCGGCTTCATTACGCACTATTAGCAGTAGCAGTAGCAGTAGCAGTAGTAGTAGTAGTAGTAGTAGTAGTAGTAGCAGTAGCAGCAGCAGTAGCATTAACAACCACAGCTAAAGCAAGAGCAACAGCAACCGCAACGGCAACAGCAACAGCAACCGCAACGGCAACAGCAACAACAGTTGTAATAGCCATGCCTTGAAAATATTGTTGCTCAAAGTAGCGTTTGTATTATTTGCTATCGTGTTGACAATGACCGTAACTACTATACTTAAAAACGTCTAAGATGGCTACAGAAAGGCTGCCGACAGTCGAGGAGTCAAGAAACTCGTCTTTCACTGGCCTACCTTCGATTCCTTGTTTGCACTCCCTCCAAGCTGGGCCTTTCCTTCGCAGCGTGCTGTTGCAAATGACGAAAGCCGCTAGGCTGCTGTTGACTTCACGCAAGTAGTCATAGGACACTGCATCCACAGCTCCAGGGAACACGGCGTTCAAGACGTCGAGAATGTACAGCTGCTCTCCAGCAAACCCAAAACTGTTGGGAACTCGACTGCTCAAAATTTCCTGGGCTGGCTTCTGAGCTCAAGAAGAAGAAAGTATCATAAAACCCTGAACCCTATAGCCCAAAAGCCCTCCCATAAACCCCGAATGGAAACCTTGTTGTAAAGCTTCTGTAGGCTTCGAAGACCAGACCTGCACATGTAAAGCCCTTTCAGAGATCCTTAAAGGACCTCGAAGCCACATCCCCCCATCCCTTTTTTGGAGAACTTTCGGTAAGCTTCGAAGACCAGGGCTTATACATTATGGAACCCCTTCGGTAGAAACCCCTAACACCACCTAAACCCTAAACCGCTACGCCCGAACAATCACCCCCTCAACCCTGAAACCTGGCGGAAGCGTCTGTGAGCTTCGACGCCCAGCTTTGTGGATTCGTCTTGTGCTTGTTCTGCTGAAGCCAACGGGATGTCATCCAGGCCTCGGGGGTTCAGGGTTTAGGATTTAGGGTTAGGGGAATTATAGGTCCCTTAAGGGATCTATAAGGGTTACTTTTATGGGTACAAAAGGAGCATAAAAAGGCTTAGAGTTTCGTAATTAAGTCTTGTTACACGAGTTGAGAAGCAAACTCCGGGGTTACTTTAGAGGCTTTATCATGGCTTATGGCTAGCGCCTGCTTTTGAAAAGTGTCCTTATGGGTTGGCGTTGTTGAGGAATAGGGCCTGGGGACGCCCTAAATCCTAAACCCTAAATCCTACACCCCTAAACCCCTAAACCCTCAGCCCCTCAGTCGTAAAGCGGGGTTTCATGGTGAGGAGTTGCGGGGCCTGCAACGACAGGGGGGTTTCGGATTTGAGGGTTCTGGGTTTAAGGGTTTTGTAGGATTTGTCGGGATTGAAAATCCCATAGACCCCACGTAGAACCCGTTTAGGAACCCTTGTAGAAACGCCTCCGGGTCCCTGTGAGCAACCACGACGGAGATGCAAGCTTTCTCAACGCCAGGATGCAGCAAAGACAGCCTTGTAGGAGTTTGCATTAGGGGTGTTTTGGGGGATACAGACCCTCTCAATAAGCTCCCTTGTAAGAGAGCCAGAAGTAGGGTTAAGAAGAGTCTTCTTGAAGGACTCTCCCTAATACTACCTTAGGACTTCAAGCCTTGACTAGTTTCGGGCTTCAGGACTCACATTTAAGGGATCCTTTAAGGGATCCGTTCAGTTCCCTTAAGGGACCTAGCACAAATTGGGTTTGTGGTTCGGGGTTTAGGGTTTTAGGGTGGAGCTTGGGGTTTAGGGTTTGATTGGAAATTCTCTTTGAGTCACCATGACAATGTGTGCGTATATATACATATATATATGTATGTATACACACATACATAGTATGTTAGCTTTCCCCTGATGGCACTGAACAAAAGCCTTACTTACACCACATAAACTCAGACGCAAATAGCCCCAGTCTGTCTTGCTGAACAGGGCGAACTTCTCACTCGACACGATCACCTGGGAAGAGTCCTTCATTGTGTTCTTCAAGAACATGATCCACTTCTGTAGCCTGAGCTCTCACTGGGGAGCCTATCTAAAGGTACCATTAGGGTTTAGGGTTTAGGGTTCTCACTGCATTATACTAAAATGCAATCATGCCGGCTACCTTGAACCAAATTCCTCAACAAGAACCCAGTAGCTTCGCCTCGTTGAACTTTGTTCCAGGGACGCGTGATGGGTCCAGCTTGGCGCGAACCAAGTCGGAAAGCTCCAGCGCCCACTTCCTCACCCCTGCCGGGAAGGGCGCTGTGATACCCATCGCGTCCTGAAGCCTGGGTGCACAAGAAGCCCTCTTTTAAACCGTAAGCCGCTGATCCCTGAATAGACAATAATATACCGCTGTAAAGCCCGATGGACCCTTCGAAAGATCTCGTAAGGCTCCGTGAAACCCTTAACCACACCTTCACCGAAAGCACTAAAAACCATCTTCCCAACCCTTACATCCTGTAGGACAAGGTCACCGAAACCCGGCAATAGGGTTTCTTACGAACGAAACCCTTAAAGGATCCCCAGGTAGGCTATGTGAGGTTATGGTAAGCCCTAAAGCCCAGGAGCCAGTCTCCATGACTGTGGAAGTAGGATTGCAAGGCCGTAGTCCCTGTCCTCACGTTTACGGTGTCACAAGGCTTAGGGTTTGGGGCTTAGGGTATGGGTTTAGGGTTTAGGGTTTAGGGTTGGGTTTGGGGCTGAGGGTATGGGTTTAGAGGCAGGGTTTAGGACTGAGGTAGGTTTAGGGCCTTTGTTAAGGTTCTGGTTTTATGGTTCAGGGTTGGGGAATTGAAACCATAGACCAGAACAAGATGATGTTTCGCCTACTCGTATATGTATCAATATCGTGGTTATGATAGTATAGTTAAATGTAATAAATCCTTTGCACGTTGTTGCCTTTTGGCTTGTATATATTTTCCTTAAAACTTTTTCATCGTTTCTATTTCTTCATACATTTATCTCACTTATCATATTGGCATATGCGATTACGTATATCAACTGGTAATTTGTTATTTAACACCCTTGTTTTGCCAAGAAACACCCGCATTCAAGAAGTACTCCACGACTCCACCCCCGAGCAAAGCCAAACAAATTCTTGAAAAGGCTTGCAACCTCAACCACAAACCCTTAAAAGCTAATCCTCAAACCCTCAAGAAGAAAATACATAGAAACTGCATGCGTTAAAGACCCAGCCCGAAATCCCAGACTGCCCCGGGCGTCTCAACCCCCCAGCCGAGCCCAGCCCCCCTGCTCGAATCTGTCGGTTTAAAATTCCGGGATCCAAACCCTGCATAATTTCTGAAGGCCCTTAAACCCTTAAACCCAAAACCCTAAAGCGCTAAGCGTCTTGTAGGGCCCAACGTGAAGTAGCAGCTTGGGGCCAGAGCATCGATCCAGCGGTTTTTTCGGAAGTGCCGAGAGAAGAAGAGCATTAGGTCGGGCCACATACCTTGAGTTTAGGGTTTAGGGTTTAGGGTTTAGGGTTTAGAGTTTAGGGTTTAGGGTTTGGTGTGTCTCAGAGGTATGGGAAGTCTGTGTGAAGGACCCTAAATCCTAAACCATCAACCTTACCTCCTAAAGCCCTGAGGGGGGAGGTGGGTCAAGGGGTTTTTGCAAGGTTTTGTGGGGCTCCTAAGTGCTACGGTATTGGGTTTGAAGATCGAGGGTGTGCAAAAGGAAATGCGGGGCTTGCGTTGTTTTGTAATGGGACTGTAGTGGTGCCTGCAACGGCTACGAAAAGGATTTCTGTAAGGGTTCCTTTGTGGACTTTGAGGGTCGTTGCAAGAGTTCCTGTGATGTGCAGGGTCTCTTCAGGGGGCCTGCGTTGGGCTCAGTGGCCGACGGCGCAGATGGCTTAAGGCTTACAGGCTCTTGGGGCTTAGGGTTCAGGGTTTAGTGAGTGTGGCATGTTGGTATGAGTTCTGACGAGCGATAAAGAAGACAACGCTAGAAGATCAAATGTACGAAAACTCTCAGTGCACCGAGAATGTCAGGTTCGAGCATGAACACAACACGTAAATCCAAACGTGTACAGCTACAGCTTTGGTGGTAATGTGCTAGTATTCCCACAAAGCTGACCTTCTTCTTCATCTACTTGCTGCAGAGGACTCTTCCATGAGACCTCCCCGAAGCTTTGGGATCCTTCAGCGACACCGGACAAAACGAGAAGTTCTAGACTGCACCAGAGGCAATAGGGTTGAGAATATACACCGCAAGTTGTACGTGCGCACTTGACGTGACAGCCGAAAAATGCTAATAAGCACAACATGTGTTTGTTGAGCGCAAATAACAACACCAATGATCGTAGTAAAGGGCCTCAATAATTCTACTAGGGTTTGGGGCCCAATATACTAGATTTCTAATGACGAACTCCCAAGAACGTATATTGGTAATTTTTGGGCCCTACAGTATGCAAACCCTCAAGACACGACTGCTCCAACTGCTACTGCCGTGGCGGGCGTCGGAAGGGGCTCGACCTTAGCCCACCAGAACCCAACCTTTTTAGTAGGGTTTAGGGTTTAGGGGCTACAAAACAGTTTCCGTAGGCTTCGGTAGATTAAAGTAGTTTCTAGAGGACCATGGTAACTGTCATGTACACACGTTGAAAATCCCTTCTGAATCCTGCAAGCAAAGCATGACCCTGAGCCCCCAAACGCAAGACTCAGCAACTTGTAGAACACTGCAAAAAATGCAGAGACCCACGACTCCCTGTGACCTAAACCCTGCTGGGCCTGACCCCAAAACCCGAAAGAAGCCCTCAAATTCTAAAGCCCTAAACGCAAAACTCCTAAACCCCTGTGACTCCATCCGGGATGCAGCAGACAAAGAGAGATCACCATGGCAACAGCGGCAAGGCAGGCCGGGCGCTTCATCGTAGCTGGGGTGTAGGATCTTGCTTGGTGCATTGGGGATTGAAAGCTTGCGGCGTTTAAAGACAAAGCGAACCGAGAAGGCTCTGTAAGTGTTGGGCCAGCTGCACAGAGCCAAACTACTGCCGCTGATGGCCTGCGGGTGGCAGGCTGTATGGAACCCCTAAACCCTAAACCCTCAATCCAAACCCTACTCACCTAAGCCGTCTTGGGTTTTGGATTTTTGGGTTTAGGGTCATGGCTAGAGCACTTGTCGGACGATCTCTCCGGCTCGAAACACGCAATGAACCCTCAAACCGTCACGCTCTTCTCATTCGCTTCTGTCGTGCTCAAGCTTTCGCACCGGCTCTAGACTTCGCGCCCTCAACCCAAACGCTTGTTTTTGCCGGCTCTTGCCCGAAACCTGCGGGTATGAAAGGAAATATGCACCAAGATGCCTCTGGCAACTTAGGGCAGACACCTTCCGGTTCCGAAACCGGCTTAGGAAACGTCCTTAATTGCAGCTTAAAAAAGAGGGTTCCTGTCATGTCTCTAATGTTCCTTTAACGGCTCTATGGTTTCTGTCCTACGCCACAAACAGATTTGGGCCTGAACTTAAGCCGGTAGCAGCTATTTCAGCCTTTAGCTTCGTAGTTTCTAGGTTTTAGTTCTCATATGTTCTGAAGGCCTTAATCGCTAAAATCGTGCTTCTGGGCATTGTAGTCTACTGTTGCATGTAACTACACCAAGGAGCTCACAGGACTACTGCTGCTGCTGCTGCTACTACTACGACGACTACTACGATTGGTAAATCTTTATGTTTATCATTATTGAAGCGGCTATACACTGATGATTTGTGGCCTGAAATAAGGTACGAGCTTTGCATTTAGGGGTTCGATACCCATTACCTGGCTCAGGCAAGACCATACCGAAAAGAGCTTCGCCGCACACCCCACAGGCTGCTTGGGTTTCGGTCTTTAGGTTTGGGACACACGAAGGCTGACCTCAACAAGCAGACAAGGGTTTGAAAACAATCTACACTATAGCTATTTTGGAGAACCCGAAGGCCCTATGTGGTACTTTTATCCCTACTTAATTACTCAGGCACCTGCAAAACCCCTCATCCAACTGCCCCCATAAGCAATATCGAACGTCTGGTGACAACCCTGTAAGCCCCTTATACACCTGCTTCAACTTCTGAAGGACCTTACACCAACACTATCACTATGAACATTTTGGTAGTAGTAGCAGCAGCAGCAGCTGTAGCAGTAGCAGTGGCAGTGGCAGTGGCAGTGGCAGTAGCAGTGGCAGTAGCAGCAGCAGCAGCAGTAGCAGTAGCAGTAGCAGCAGTAGTAGTAGTAGTACTAGTAGCAGCAGTAGCAGTACCAGTAGCAGCAGTAGTAGTAGTAGTAGTAGTAGTAGTAGTACTAGCAGCAGCAGCAGTCACAAAGTAGTAGCTGTATCAATATTGTCGAGCTCCTTCCTACCATAATCACCAGTCGCTTCAGGAAGTCTGAT